TTATGAAAATATTATATAGATATTAAGTAGTATTTAATAATAGGGTAATAATGTTTATACGTATAAAAATCCGAAATTTTTCTTACTATTCGACAGGTAGAATCTCTTCATTAATGCGATTAACTTTCAATTATATAAATTTCATATTTTTTATAGTACATTACATTAACAATCCCATTCTTACATTATTATTGTGTTGTGATCTTGATGATGATGCTTGTGATTGTGATGTATATATATGCGGATTTTTGATAGGTGCAAAAAATATTGGTTTTTAATATTATTCAATTTTTTTTTCTGTAATTACATTTTGTGACCGACTAGCGACCGAACTGCAAACAAAATTATAACCATTAAATTCAAATTTGCGACAGATCACCAACCAATCAATTTCAAAATTTGCGACCCATTTGCGACTACTTTACGTAATTGCGACCGACGCAATTTGTGACCAATTTGCAACAGGCTTTTCAGAATGAAAACGCAACGAAAATTAGTAACCGATAATCAGAATTTTGCGACTACTAAATAATTGGGTCGCAAAACTATTTGCGACGAGCACTTTTGCGACCGATACTTATCCGTCGCAAATCAGTCTTTGATGTCATTTAGCGACCGATTTCTTTTATTTTGCGATCGGTTGATCGGTCGCAAAATCGCTTTTTTTTTTGTAGTGAATCAAGTAATTTAATTTAGTCCCCATTCGAGTATTTTTAATTTAAATTAATTTTATTTCAAGTGTGACTTAATTTAATTTCAATAAGTTTATCTCATTTTAATAAAGTTTCATATGTAACTTAATTTAATTGTAATTGAGGTGTCTTAGTTGAATTTTAATTTTGTTTCAAATGTGACCAAATTTAACTTAATCAATTATTACTTAATTTAATTTTAATTTGGATGTTTTAATTTAATTTAATTTCAAATGTGACCAAATGTGGATGAATCAAGGTGAATTATTATCTAAATAGATTTTTAAAATCAAGTGTGACTTAATCAATTGTTACTTAATTTAATTTCGGTTTGGATATCATAATATCACTAAATGAGACTCAATCAAGGGTGACTTAATTTAATTCAATTAGAATATCTTGATTAATTTATTCTCAAGTATGACTAGGTGTGATTTAATTTAATTTAAATGTGACTAAATATATCTTAATTTAATTCCAATTAAGGTGTCCTAATTTAATTAAATTTCAAGTGTTACAAGTGTAACTCAATCAAAGTAACTTAATTTCATTTTCTAAATAGAACTTGAAACTAAGTATAATTTTTAATGAATTGTTACTTAATTCAATTCTACTTTAGGTATCTTAACTAACTTCATTTCAAATGTAAGTTAACGTGATATGATCAAAGTTGACTTAATTAAATTTAAATTAGAGTGCCTTAATTTAATTAAATCTCAAATCCGACTAAGTATGATTTACTTCAATTTCAATTAGGGTGTCACAATACATTAAAATTCCAAGTTTAACTTAATCAAGTGACTTAATTTAGTTCCAATTAGAATGTTTTGATTTCAATTATCTAAATTCGAGTATGACCTAATTTAATTTTAATTAGGACATCTCAATTGAATAAAATTTTTAAGTATAATTTAATAAAATGCGATTTAATTTAGTTTAAATTAGATTATCTTAGTCTAATTTAATTTAAATTCAAGAGTGATCAAGCGTGTTTAAACAAGCTACAAGTACAATCATGATATTTTGATTTAGTTTTAATTGTACCTAACTATAACTTGATTAATTAAAATTTAACTTGATTTTAATTAAAGTATCTTAATTTAAATCATTTTTTGAAATATCACCAAATATGATTTAAAGTCTAATATTCACTATTCTAAATCGTCCTTGTAAATATGAAGATAATTCATATTTTTATTTAGCATAGGATTGCCAATAGACTATATTTTTGAACTCTTTCCATGGACTAATTTTTCCCTCTTCCCATGGACACTGTATAGTCCAAGTATATTTGGAATGAAAAGATGATTTTCAAAGACAATTAATGATAATATTGTATATTTGACATTTTTCCTATTGCATTTAATGTCATCGAGCCCTACACATTTTACAATGACACTTTAACATGATTCTCAAGGATATATGAGTAAATATACACATTGTAAATTCAATTTTCAATTTTCAGCACACAATATTTAATAAGGGTAATATTGACATTGGACATTTTAAAACCACTCATGACCTGGTCAAAACCACCTATGATCTAGATCATTATGACGTAAAAATCTTTTCCAAAATTAAATTTAGCAAATGCTAACATCAAATTCAAATACATTGATATATGAGCTACTGTTATTCTAGTGAGCCTACATATAGGTGTTTCACCTTGGAGTTGCACACTTCTGAGAGCTCTCATTTGCGTATAGATTAAGTTCCAACACATGCATATAACAAAGGGAACATCCTATTTCATATGGATTTGTGCTACTGTGTGCCATTGGACTGTGAACATATATTGGAAGATATGTATTCCTTATAAATTCTTACATATTTATGGAGTTGGAGGGACTTCTCGAGTCAAATTCCTGTATGCAGTATTTTATCAATTTTTAATTTTATTTCATATAAGCTAACTCATCTTTCATGTGGATTTCTTTGATTGTAGATGTTGTCTGAACCCATCCAAGACACATTCTGGTTTACTTCCACAAACCCTAAAAGTAGGGAATGATTTCAGAACAGACAAATCCATTGATGGAGCGAAGGGGAGAATGAAGTTGAGGGAGGAAAGTCTTTGGAAACTAATCCTTTTGAAAGGTATGAATCTGATGTAAAAGGTAAGGATACTCTTCAAGGAGATGGAATTAAAAGAAAAAGGCATGGCATTATTGATGAAAATGAAAGAGAAGAGTTAGATAAGGATGCATTTGAGGAAGAAAAAACTAAACAAAGAAAAGGAGGCAACATTAGTGATAACGAGAAGGTCAAGGAAGATGAGGATTATCTCACTGAGGGATTATAGATAGAGGAGTAAGGGTATTGTAAACAATACCTCGAAGGAGGGTACTTTAAGAATAATAGATAACTATACAAATGGAGAAATAATCTTACTGATAAGAATGATATTGTAGATTATACTAGTAGTGATGATGCAAGTGTAGGAAATGCTGGCAGCTTACTTATTCCAACTCTAGTAGTGCCAGAGAGGGATGAAATGATGCCTCTTGCTAAAAGAACTCACGCAACTCTTCTGACCCATAAAATTGTTATCGGTCCCAATGTTGCTAGTACATCTCAAGGAGATGGGACTAGGACTTAACACAATTTAGGATTGGGGCATATGCAGATTTTTATGGGTTTAATGTGGAGAGTCATTATACTCCATATCTTGAGAGGTTTTATATTGTTGAAGGTACTTTTTGAGATAATTGCATCTTTAAGAGTAGCACTAGAATTTCTTTTCTTTAAATATGCTTGGAGAGGCCTTACAGACCCTTGATATGGTATTTAAGTCATTAACTTACCTGAAGTTGATAAGAAAAGGTATTGAGAATGTATCCAAACCTAGGTTTACGGTCGACTCTTTAATGCCAGTATTTGAAAAACTTAGAATGATAATTGCATTACAAGAAAAACAAAATCAGTATGCGAATTTGGAAGAGAAATGAATGAACTTCAAGTGCACCTTAGTCAGATAAATAGAGAAATGGTTACCCTTCAACAAGAGTTGAGCTTTGATGTTTTGAGAATTGATTTTAATGTCAGTTATTTTTCCATGCAATACTAAATGGAAGACATTTGAGAATGCTTAATTTGTATTTGTTGAGTTGCTAATATTGCAAAATAGTCTAGCTCATAATTTTCTCTTCATCTCTATTGCAGAAAAACATTGAAATGGTATCAGAGCTTCAAAAATCTTAAAGGGCCTGGATTAGATTATTAATTGAGAGAGAGAGAGAGAGAGAGAGAGAGAGAGAGAGAAAAAGAGAGAAGTGTTATGGCTTCCAACGTCTCAATGCGAGGCATTGCTCATTTTCTAAGGCCAAAATTATGATCTTAGGTAATTATGATGACGGCTTTTTCTAAAAGCACATGATTTGTGGGAGGTATTGAAAAAGGATTATGAACCACCACCACAAAGATAAAATCTTGCTCTTGCTCAAATCAAGCATCAACCTGAGAAGGCTCTAAAGCCATTCAAAGTTATGTCCTTCATTCATTCAACTATGGATGAGAACTCTTTTTTTTTTTTTTTCCAGAGCTTGATGTTGTCGAAGAGTAAAACAAGTAAAGTTGCAGACTTTGAGAAGAAAATTTGAAGCATTAAGAATGAAGGATAATGAACGTATCAAAGATTACGGTTCAATAATTCTTCAAATTGTAAATCAGTTAAGAATATGGAGAAGACATTTCAGACCAGAGTATTTGACAAGATTCTCATTTTCTTACTGAGAAAATAAAAGTCAAAAGTTGTAGCTATTGAAGAGTATTTGACAAGATTTTCATTTATTTACTGAGAAATAAAAGTCAAAAATTACAGCCATTGAAGAAGCTTATGATCTCTCAAAATACATAATCACAAAATGTGTTGGATCTCTCAAAATACATAATCACAAAATGTGTTGGAGCCTTGCAAGGCCAAGAGCAAAAGTTTTTGCAAAAGTTTTTCACATTTTTAAGCGTTTAATTAATCTAATTTTACGAGTCATATTATTCAATAGAATAATTTTACAAGTTAAAGTATTTATAAGTGTAATTTTTAAAGTGTTTGATGAACCAAATTAAAAATTAAAAATATCATAAGCTTTGTGAAAAATAAGGAATAAATTTATGCATTTGACCAAGAATATTGGCATTATTTTGATAAGAAAGAGAAGTGGTCTTAATGTATGAGTACTTGTATAAAAACCATTAATTGTTGAAAAATGTGAAAAACTATGAGGTTTCTAAGTATATAATATAATTCAATGTGTATATATATTGTATGTGTGATAAATAGTTTAGATATTGTAATCTAACAATTGCATCTCAAGGCAGAATTTGGAAACATCAAGATGGTTATTTCTATCATGTGATACACTGGGACAATATTAGTTTTCTTTTAGAAAAGAGACAGATAAGGAACAAAAGAAAATACAAAACTAACAGACTTTCATCAGCTAAACAATGACCCAGAAAAAGAAACTTGGAAACCGAAAAAAGCCAGAAAGAGATAAAGGGAAAAGCCTAGAAGGGTCACACAGCCATGCTTGATAAAACGTGCTCATTCATAACAACCGATATATATTAATAGTTACATGCTCATAGGACTTTGTGGATCGTTAAGTGCTGCAATGGCTGCTTCAATTTTTATCTTCAAATGATCTTTCTCCTCCTCATCCGCCTGCAGATTGAGACAAGGAAAGAGATAAGGTTAATTTGATTTTAGATGTACTTTAAATAGGAGTTTACAGATTTTAGAGATAAGTGTTGGATTTTCTTTTAGAAGGTTCAGATTGTGCATCGTGAGATAATGTTTGGCCTATGCATTCAAAAATTGCCTTTCGAATTTTATAAAAAGAGGGAATTGCCTCTAGACTTTGAACTGTAAGGTAGAGCTTTAAGCTTTCTCAGGTAAACTTACAACAGAATATTTAATGCCTAATGCATAAACCAAATGCAGATCTCGTCTAAGGAAGAAATTTAAAGATAATCATATCAGACTTCTAGAAAGACCATAGAGTCGAATAGTAGCCATAAATAGCTAACAAGTGAAGCAAATGATCATCTATAGTACAAATATTATGTTCCGTCAATTGAATCAGATATTTCAAATCAAAATTATATTTTTTTATTCTTTATATAAGTGGTTTATTATTAGACTTCCTATGCAAAAATTAGAAACATATTTATCTGTATCTCTCATATGTATACAGTTTCCTCATAATGAAATTTCTAATTTGATTTCTTTTAAAAAAAAAAATTATAGCTCACGGTATGGCTTGGAAAAGAGATAGATATTCAAAATCATATATTATTATAATATTAGTATTAATTAGTATTAATATTTAAATACAATATTTAAAATATTCAAGGTCCTCAACTAGAATATTTAAATTAGTACTAATTAATATTGGTTTTCTTTTTTTTTTTTTTTTTTTTATCATATATTTTATAATATTAGTATTAATTAGTATTATATTTAAATAAATATTTAAAATATTCAAGGTCCTCAAGCTAGAATATTAAATTAGTACTAATTAATATATTGGTTTTCTTTTTTTTTTTTTTTTTTTTTGTTTTAATCTAATTATTCTCTTTTTTGGTACGAAATCCTTTATCAACTTAAGATTACAGGATCTTTTTTCCCCAATTCCTTTATTGTTTTTTTTTTTTTTTTTTTTTTTTTGTTTTATCTAATTATTCTCTTTGTTTTGGTACGAAATCTTTATCAACTTAGATTACAGGATCTTTTTTCCCCAATTCTTTATTGTTTTTCCCCTCATCTTTCAATGAAATAATTAAAGATTGAACCACGCAGAACATCAATATCAACAAATTTCGAGCGCTGTGTATCTCCACAATATTAAATTGTTTCCTGCTTCTGCTCGGCGCCAAAATTTTTAATACTTCGAGATTATATATTTTTAAAGTGTTCTACAACTTCTACTGAAATTTTTTTGCTAAAAAACATTAATGATGTCGAAATCAGCTCAAAATTGATGAACTGATGCAGAAATTAAAATTTCTTGTCCCAATTAAAAACAAATTCAGAATTTTGATTTAGGAAAAATTAGACTGTAATTCGTTTATAATGATTTATTTCAAAATCGGTTCGAAAGCAAAACCTCCTGATCTAATCAAAATTGATTTGAACTAGTTAAATTCAAGCCAATTCTTTGTTATATGACCGATTAGTAATGATTGAATAAGTTTTAGGGAAATAAAATATCTAAACGTAACAAGTATTTACAAACCGAAAGAATACTACTTTCGGCATAATTCAAAAGTGAAAATCAATAACAAAATAAGTTTTTAAAAGAGTTAATAAAATTCGTGGTTGAAATTATAAGGTTATGAAATAGTAAAAAAAACTTTTTGAATTAATTTCTGGCGTGTTAATCAAGTCAAAACTTTATCTCTATTAATTGTATAATCCAGTAATAAACTTTTTATAATAGTTTCTAAGAGTCGATGGAGTTTTTTTATGAACATTAACACCGTAAAATTTAACTTTTAGCGTTTAGTATTTAGTTAAATTTTTCAGCTAATTAAACAATTAATGTCATTTTCGTCATTTTAAGTTTTGTTGAATTTTTCAGCTAATTAAACAACTAATGTCTTTTTTATTATTTTAAATTAAACAGTTATTTTTACTGAACAATTAGATTTAAACTGCTAAATAAATAGCTACTAGCTAATACGACAACTAACACTAATACCACATTTAATATTCCCGAACCCACCTAAAATGTTTTTAGTGGATTCGAAGTTTTTATGAGTTATCAGACAAAAATTAACCACAGGAAACAGACAAGAAACATGTGAAAATGACAAATTGAGCCGTGTGAAAATTGAAAAAGAAAATTAGAAACACGTTTTTAATGCTTTTTCTGTTTTCCTTTATGAAGTTTGTTGAAAATTAAATACACGAATGTTGAAATTTCTAAGAAGCAACATGTGAAACGTATTAGTAGCTGAATATTAAATCTTGTCTCCCGACCTATGAGTGACTGTTAAAAGTTGGATGAAAGGTACTATGGTCCTCATAATTTACTATTTCCTATTTCACTTGTGACATTATTATTATTAGTATTAGATTATTGAGTTATGACTCACATTAGAAGTAGAAAAATCAATGAAATCAATGGTTTTCCTAACATATATTTTAAAATATCCGTCTCGCTCCGATCTGTTTAATGAAAATATGAATAAATATAAATAGATTTTGGATAAATATTGATACTCATGACAAGTACAAATAAGTATGTGTATAAATATCTGAATATCATTATCTGTTCTCCATTATATTAAATGATTTTGGTCATAAGAAATTAGGAGTACTATATATATTATTGATAAAAAAATGTACTTTAAATAAATTAGAGTTTGGATAGTTTAAAATCTATAAATACGTTATATATTTAAAAGCGATACTTTAAACAAATTTAAAATGATTGATTTCAAACATATATAGTAAAATTCTAAACACATATGAATACGAGTCAAAATTCGTGATAAATTGGTGCTTTCGCCCCTACTTGCAACACAATTTTTGATGTAAGAAAGTACTCATACCTAGTGACAAACTCAAATTTTAGATCTACCAAGATTCAAGTATATATTTGAGTTTATTATGTAATAAATTTTGAGAAAAAGATTCGACTATTTTTGGTAGGTTGACATTTATGGTTGACAAGCCCAACCTATTCATCACTTCTCGTTTCTCTGACATATCTCCCTCCGTAGAGCAACGATCAAGGCGGATGCTAGTAATCATGTCATGTTGCTGTCAATCCAAATTGATTGTCTATGTGCATGCCGACGGTTCGAAATTTGTGGTTTAAGCTCCAAGGTTTAACTTAATATTAAGGTCAAAATTTTATTTAAATTTCATCTGTTTAAATTTATTTAGGAGGTTATTCAATTAGTTATAAATTTTTACATATTTTTCTTCATTAATAATATTTAAACTCAATATAACATATAATAGTTATTTTAAATGTTAAATAAAATTTTATATTTAATTAACTAGTGTTTGATAAGAAATTTTATAAAATGGAATAAAAATTATTTTATAATATTAATATGTTAATTATTTTTCCTTTGAGTTATTCACGAGCTTTTCAAATTGAGTTTATAAATCATCAGAGTTGTTATTTATAATTAATATTCTGAAACTTCACTTAATTCTTAAAAAGTTAAAAATATAAAACTTTTATCATAATAATACTCTAAATTATCCCAATATTTTCTGTGTTCCATTTTACCAACATATAATCCAAACCTAATCATATAAAGCGGAATGAATAATTTGTTTAGTGATGAATAGTAATACAAGCAAAAGTATAAAAGGAATCTCTAGACAAAATAAACAATGATAGATGGTGCTCTAAAGAGTGAAGATTAGAATCATTGTTGTTTAGTTTAAAGTGGAAGTTTGAAATGGGGTCCTGTTTTTCCTTAGTGACTTTTGATTTTGAGACTAGTTTTATTCGGACACTCTGGAAATCATCATTTCCCTCAAAATTGCTTCTCTATTATTAATAATGGCAGTGATCAGCCACTTTGTTAAAGCTGTCTATACCTTGTCTTTCCGGGTCCCACTAATTTTACTATTTTTATTTTTTGTTTTATTATATAAAAATAAGCTTGAGTAATTTTTTTGTTATAACAAATAAACTAAGGCGGTAACAGCTTTTAAATAAACATTCTATCTTTAGCATTCTATAATATAATTTTTATAATACCTCTTACGAGTTTATGAAACGTTAAACTGTTTAATATTCTACTTCTAATGTTCAGTGTTTAACTTTTAATTAATTTTTTTTTCAATTGTTTGAATTCAGCTAATTAAACAAACAATATTTTGTTTTATTTTTATTTTTTTACCCAACACTTCTAATTTAAATTTATATATAAACAACTATCAGCTAAAATCTAATAGCTAACAACTGACAGCTATTACAATAATTAATACTACTAAAACAGCGAATATTGTCGAACAGAACCTAAACTGCTAATAGAAAATCGTTTGTATTGATGAAATATGAAATTTATAAAATTTATGAATTTTACGTTTCATCATTTAGTTAGAAAATAAAATCTATTGAATTGAAGAATATTTTTAAAATAAAATTAAATGATTTAAGTTTTAATATAAAAAAAACAACAAAATTTCACTTTCTTTCATATGATAATATTGAAGCCAGATAAAATTTATTAATTTCATACTATATATTTTCTCAATCAAATAAAAAAATCTAAAAATTTTATGAAATTTTAAAATTTCATAATTGGAAACAGTCTGATGGTTTTTTATTGTTTATTCATGCACTGTGAAATAAGACTTATTTTTACATGACTTTTCTTCAATAAAATTTCGTAATTTTTATTAGATAATATAAAGTTTTTACTGTAAAAGGATAATTGTTTAAATTCTTCAAAATTTATATTTTATATTTTGTACTATAAGATAAATATTTAATCATTATCTGTCATATTATAGTAATTCGACAAGTTTGGGACCTTGGTTTGCGACCTTGGTTGCTGTTGTAATAATCCAAACTAAAATTTACCAATTAACTTTTGCCATTATAGGGAACTCCACGGACAAGCTTTAATAATCGAAAAATGTCCGATCTGACATCAATGCACCAACAGTAAACCGAGTCCCACTTCGTCGTCGTGTTTACTACTGCTGACAATATTATATATTCCTTACTCTTATTTCCAAACACGACAAAAAAAAAAACTGTTGACTTCGTCATATATTCTCCCTTATTATATATTTATTGAAGAAATTATCCCTAAAAATATTAATTTTTAATTTAAAAAATTTTCAAGTTGATTGATCTACCAAATAATAATGTTTTTAACAGCCAAATATCTTCAGTTTTCTATATAAGCTATTATTAAATTAAAGAAAACTGAACAATTAAATAATAGAATTCTAAGAACATCCCAGGTTGAGAAATTATTTTGTTTTTCAGTGGTAAGGTGATTTGTTAAAGAAAAATGGTAAGTAATGAGAAGTGTCAAATTTTTAAATTAGTTTGCATATGTTAGACTGCGTTTCGGCGATAACTTTTTAAGTAGTTTTCGTCGTTTTAACTAAAATCTATTAATTTTTTAAATAGCTTTCATCGTTTTGATTAAATTCTATTATCTATAATTTTTAGCCATGTAACATTTAAACTAGTTTTCAGAAATTAAGATATCGTTTTATGAATATCTAACAATTACGTTCCATTTAGTATGGATGAATTTAAAATATAGAATTCATTTGCAAATGTTTTATATTTAGTATGATTAATTTAAAAAATATAATTCAATTAAATTTCATATAATCAGGTATCGAATAAATTCATAATTAAAGATTAATTTGCTTTTATTTCCTAAAATATCCTTAAAATATTAATTTCATAAAAATAAATAATAAAAATAATTATTTCCTAACAATATCCTTTAAAATATTAATTCATAAAAATAAATAATAAAAATAAATTTATATTATTTATTGATATATAATATTTTATTGATTTTTTATTAAAATTATATTTATTTTATGATATATAATATTTTATATTTTTATTAAAATAAATATTTAAATAAAAATAATATTAATAAAACTATTACATTTAATTTGATGATAAATGTATAGTTAATTTGAATCTCTCCCCCTCAATAAAAAAAAAAATACTAAAAATATCAAAATAAAAGATGAAAATTAATCAAATAAAAACAGAATAATAAGAAAATATTTTTCTAAAAAATAAATTTTTTAAATGGTTCTCGTCAAGTTTCATAAAATAAATGAATTAAATAAGAAAAAAAATGAAAAATTAACTTTGTAAAAGGAGAATGGTAGTTTTGTCGTAAAAAGTTAGATGACTTAGTTTTGTGAAATTCACCTGAAAATTCCACCTATTGTGAAATTTGGTTTAATTATATTCAATTCTATAAAATTGAATTCCTATAATTGAAATCCATGTTTTGTTTCCATTCCGAACACAAAAGTATAGATTTTTAAATGAATTTCACAAAATTTTATAGAATCCATTTGTTGAAACATTCTAAACACAAAAATATGGATTTTTACATAAATTTCACAAAATTTTTGTGAAATTCACTTCTTTCAAACAATGGGTTAATTTTTAGAGTTTTACGAAAAGCAATTAAAATTGTTAAATATCACTAAAACAATTAACAGTTAACAGCTTAAAAACAGTTAATTTTACCGAATAGAACCCTTATAAGTACTACACGTAAAATGTTTGAGAAAAAAAATTAATTAATAATTAATTAAGTAAATTTTCTACACTAATAATTTATAAATTTTTTCTTTTTTTTTTTTTTGGATGGAAAGTGAAAACTGGTCTAGGTACTACTTCTGTGATAGGACACTCAAGCCGACCAACCTTACTGTATTGAACAGGGATATGCCCGATATGGTCATTTTACTGAGCAGGAAAGGAAACCGATGGAGGGAGAGAGAGAGAGAGAGAGAGGACAATTTAGTACTAACCTCAATGAAGACAGTCTTGAGGAGCCTCCCTGAGACAGTTGTAATGTTTGCTGTAATAATTTTGAGCTTTAAAGATTCAAATACCTCACAAAGTTTCACCATTGTGTCCGTTCTTTTACTACATGTCAAGCTGACCAACAAAGTCTTCTCTCCCATGTACACAACACTAAACTGAAATTTCAAAAAAAAAAAAAATCAAAAATATAATCAAAAGTATTTTTAATATATTAAATCAAAAATATATTTCTTCATATTTGATTAGAATCTATACGGTTTACCGAATAAAATCTTATTACAACTTATGTTAAAGAAACAAAAATTATGTTCTTAGAGAGTTTATATAATTAAAATTTAGATTAGGGAAAGTTTACCTCAAGAACTTCAATTGGACAATTTCTAGAATCACAGAATTGATCAATTTTCTTTTTCTTGGATCTCAGTAAAACTGGAAGATCTTGCTCAAATTCAGAACCTGAATTCTTCTTCAATTTCCCAGATTCCAATTCCATTATCTCAGCTTGAATTCTTCTCTCTTGTTCATGCAATTCTTGAATATAATCAATTGCGTCTTTGATAATGGAAGCCTTGTCCATCTAAATAAAAGCCACAAAAATCCAAATCCAACTTCAGTTACCAAAAAAAAAAAAAAAAAAAAAAAAAAAAAAAAGAAACGTTTGCGAAATTGTTATGATTAGTAAGATAGTATTAGCACTGACTTTACTTTTCCTTTTAAAAAAATTCTAAAAAAAAAAAAAAAAAAAAAAAAGAAACGTTTCGAAATTGTTATGATTATAAGATATATAGCACTGACTACTTTCCTTTTAAAAAATTTGAAATAATTATTAATTGTAGTTAAGCTCAAAATGATGGAAGCAATAATTTTTAATTTTAATATTAGTAATAAATAATATATTACGAATGGATGGGTGACCAGACCTTGCTAATATTGGGGACCACAGCTCTAAGAGCAAAAAGCCTTTCGTTAAGCTTCTTTCTTCTATTCCTTTCCGAAACAATATTCTTCGATGCGGCGGAGGAAGCAGCTCCATCCGGCGAACTGGAGTCGTAATAACCGGAAAACGCCTCATCCATAGCCCAGCTGCTCAAAATCAATTTGTAAGTTGCAAATTCAGCCCTAACGAGCACGAGAGAGATATTTTAAACTTAAAAAATTTCAGAAATCTCAAGAATTAAAAACAAAAGATCAAAAGCTAACCTATCTAGTTCTTCAGTTTCGAGAAACCTTTTAGTTTCCCAATAGTTATGATACTCGCCGATATTTTCAATAGGTTCCATGAAGAAGAAGAAGCAGAATAGATCTTATATTAGAGAAAGAGAGAAGTCTATTAATGAATTTATGCTTTCTTGAAATGGTGACTAAAAAAAAAAAAAAAGGTAGTAGCAATGTTTCAGAAGAACATGTGAGAGAGTCTTCTTTTATAGTGGGGAGAGGGGTAAGGAGGAAAGAGATTGAAAATGGTTGGGGATTTAAGACACGTGGGTTTGTAAGAATTTTGCCATTAACTTCGTATGTATGACTGTCTGTTGTGGTCGCGTCACTGTATGCATTAGCTATGGTTTGCTTCATTCGTAGAAAGATCTTAACCGTCCACTTAGTGCGGTCTTCAAGACCGCGTGGATGACACCACCTGGAGTTATTTCTTTAGTTTCCGGAACATAATTATTTATTGGTAAAATTACAGTATAATCCATGAGATTTTTAAAATACAATTAACGTGGCTTTTTTTTTTTAAATAGATTAAAATATTTTCATATTGTATTTTCATCAGGTCATAAAATTCTTCCGTCTAATTTTTATATTTTTTCTATCAAGTATCTTATGAAATGATAAAAATATTCATTTTATTTTTTAAAAATACAAGGACAAACTAATTATATTTTTCAAACTATAAAGACCGTATTGTAATTTTTTTGACATAATATTTTAATATCTCCCTTTTGATCTCTTTGTTTTCTTATCGACTTAACGAAAATGATGTAAAAAATGAACAAAATAACCTAATAGTATAACATAAGCAAAATATAGAGACAAATTGATATATTTTAGAAAAGATAAGGACCGACTAGTTATATTTCACAAACTACAATGATCATTCTGTAAATTTCTCTTGTTTAAATTCCTTCTTGTACAAGTGTATATGGCGGGTTGATTGAATTGAACCGATCCTTGAACTGTGGGTTTTAGTCCAATTTCAATTCTAGTATGATTTAATGAATCGATGGTATGGTTCTAATTATGGTTCCAGTAATATATTTTTTATTTCCTCTATTTCAAAAGGATAGTTCATTTTTTTTTTATTTGACCCAAAAGTAATCCACTTTTCTTTTTTGCGTTATAGTTAAACTTTAAATTGTTTATTATACTCTTATCTTATTTTCAATAACCCACGTTAGCTCTTAGTTATTATTTAAATATAATAATTGCTCATGTATTATTTAAGATGGGTTTAATAGGAAAGCTACATAAATAAAATTTTCTTTTAACCATAATAACTGTTATTTCTTAATTTGTATGAAAATAAAAAGTTGATTATGTTCTTGGGACGGATGGAGTGTTTTTTAAAAAAAATAATCAATATTCAGTTCTAAAGTTAAGTTTTTCTTTCAAAAAAATTACCATGACTTTGAAAAAAATATTTCAATAAATTTTAATTTTAAATAGCTCTTATAATGCTCGTACTCATGTAAGAAATAAAATTAATTAACTCTACAAATAAATACAAAATAATCAAATAAATTATTATTTTAACTTGTTTAAATGTGACTAATTAAATAAATTATTAGAATTTCTAAAAAATGCTTCCAATAATGTAAGTTTGAGCTAAGTAAAAATATGTAAAAGGAAAAAAATGTCACATTTATATGGAACAATATAAATTTTAAACAAAATATTTCACTTTTTTTATACCGTTTTTACTTTTTTAGATTCTTAACTTTTTAAGTCAAGTATATCATGGAGTAAAAGATATGTTTTGAATCTTAGAAATTTATAGAATAAATTAAGTGGTTATAAATTTTTAAAAATAAAAATTAAAAATATTTCGATTTGAACCAAGCTGAAATTGTCGAGTTCAAACGGTTCAAGTCTATATTTTAACATTCACTACTAAAAATTTTGCAATATCCTATTTTATATTTAACATGCACCTACTTTTATTTCAATTGTTTCAAGTTTTTTTCTTTACTATAAAAGGTTTCAAAATGACATACATAAATATTAATATGTAACTTAAAAACCATTGCACAAGCAATAATATTGATAATGAAAGATTATCTCCAAGTTTATAGATAGATATATATGATATTAAATTTAAAAATTTCAAAGTAATATATATTTATTTAAAAATTTTAAAAAATATTTAACATATTAAAATTTTACAGGTCTAATTATCTTTATATCTATTTTAAAAAATAAATGTAACCAAGTCATAAAAAATTAAATAAAATTTCAAAAATTTAAAATTAAATAAAATTTAAAAAGTGAGCTCTTGGATTTTTTCATCATTTCATCTTTAATATAGAAAACTGAAAATAAAAGTGATAGCAAATATGTGTAAATAGCCATTTTTTCATTAATTCAAAATTTATAGTGTATTTTTTTAATAAGATTTCATTAGATTAAAAAGGAAAAATTTTTTATATGATATTTCTCAAATACAGTAATGTGTAAATAATGCAAATAAGTGTACACCAACATCTTCACAAAAATCAAAGAGAAATAATATATTAAAATATTTTATTTTAATTTCATTATACTTAATTAATAGAGTCTAATAGTAAAGTGTTTACCCGTATTTTAAAAAATTCAGAATATAATTAATTAATAAATTTATATTTCATTTTCGATACCTAAATTAAAGTTTTCGATTTACTTTCTAAAAAGTAATATCACATGAAAACTTATAGTTAAGAATATGAAAATCTATTAATTATAAAATTTATTGGACGATAATAATACAATATCAAATAGAGAAAATATATATGCATATTTTTTCCAATTAAAATGCATAAAAAAATTAAATAAAAGGATATTCAAAAGAAAAAATGAAATCTATTTTTTCAATTAAAAGATAATAAAAAAATACAACTAAAAGAATTTTTTAAAGGATAAATGGTTTCTCCAATTAAAAGCATAAAAAAATCTAACTAAATGGATAAATTAGAAATTTCAAATTAATCTAAGACTATTATAGGAAATTTGATTATCCCCTATTTTCACATTTATATATTTTTATAATTATTTATTTATTTATAAATAAATAATTAAAAGTTCTATTTTGTGGAATAAAATATCAAAATAAAAGTTGAAGGAGCCACAAGATTAAAGTAATAAAGTTTAAGGGTGATTTTATATATTAGGCCATTTACCATTATTCATGGTTTTATCGGTGGACATTAAAACACAAATTAAGTGGAATTAAAAAATAAATTAGTGATTATTTTTCTTTTATAGTTAAAGAGGTTAAGGCTTTTAGTTCTGAAAATCTTTTAACCCTTTAAATGTTTTTATCTAAAAATAATGAATTTTGTTTTTAAAATAATTAAACAAATTTTAATGATAATTTAAAAAGTTTATATAAAATTTGAATTTCTAGTGTAAATACAAGTGCACAATTTGTTACTTTGGATTGAATTCAAAAAATACAAGTCCCACTCATATCATAATTTGTTACTTTTTTTAAAAAAAAATACAAGTGCACAATTTTTATTATGCTTCTTTGGATTGAATTCTTGAATTGCAAAAATTTAAAAAAAAAAAGAAATAAAATCGTTGGATTAAATTCTTATCTTTTTCATCAACAAGATTCTCTAATTGAGATTGAATCATTTTCTTAAGGCAATCCAAGAGGTAGCATGCTCAAACGCTCCTAGAAATATTCATTATATTAGAATATGTAATTAGTCAGTATAGATTGAAATAACCTTTAATCCCATTTTAAAAATGTTTTAAAAATATATTTTGAAATTTAAAATTATTTCATTCTGTTTCAATTTTTTTTTAGAATTAAAATGTTTATTTTATTCCATTCTGTTGAAATTTGTATGGAATTTTGGGATTCCAAAATTCCAATACTTTTGACCTTAAAGATTTTCAAGCTCAATAATGATTAGAAAATACCAAAGTATAAAAGATTTATCTTAAAAATATTTAGAAAATTTATCTTAAAAATATTTACAATATTTAAATTTAATATTTAATCGTAATTTTAAATTTATCTTAAAAAATTTTTATAATATTTAAATTTAATATTTAATTGTAATTTTGAGTATTTTGATAAAGAGAGAGATAAAGATATAGAAAAAAAATTTTAAAAATACATGTAATATTTAATTATAATTTAAAATACTTGGATTGGAATTAATTTTTTAATTTTTATTTTTAAATTTGATTGCATCATTTTTTTTAAAATTTATTTTTTGAATATACATGCATACATAATTAAGCCTTTGAAAATTTAAACTTTCTTTTTAAAATAAATCATTATTTCTAAATTTGTGTAATTTTTATTTTTCTACAATTTGGTTGGATTTATTTTTAAAAAATTAACTTTTTAGATAGATATATAGATAATTAAGTCTTGAAAATTTTTAAAATTTTTGTTTTTGAAATTTTATTTTTTATAATAAATATATATGAATAATTATATATCTATAGATCTTAAATGTAGATATTTTTTTTTATAGATGATTAGATATTTGAAAATCTTTAAATTTTTCTTTTTGAATTTATATTTTATCTACATTTCTCTTATACATATATCAATTAATCAAAACTTAAAAGAAAAAAAAGATCTCAAAAATTTTTTTTGATTAAATATCAAAGGTTTATTGTCAAGAATAAAGATGAAGAAAGGTGGAGAAAAGCAAATAAGAAATTAGATGTGTGTTTATTTACAGAAAATAATTTTCTGTTTTCTATTTTCTGATTTTTATTGAAAACACTTTTTTGGAAAATGAAAATTAGAAAGCAGGAAATAGAAAATGTATTCACTTAGTATTTTATGAAAAAATATATTTTAATTTAAAAACTTCACAAACATTATTCATATCATTCACAATTAAAATAAAATATTAGTATAAAATAACTTTATAAATATTTTTTTAAAATTTTTGAATTTTTATTATTGATTATTATAATAATAATATCAATTTTTATCATTTTTATAAAATTTTTTAAAAATAAAAGATATAATATATTTGTAATAATAAAATTAATTATATATTAAAGCATAATATAATTTTTTTATGTTATTTGGATATTTTAATGTTTAATAAAAACATTTTATAGAAAAAAGTATTTGTAGATATTATAACTTCAATTGTGAAAATGTCATTTTTTTAAAATGGAAAACAGTTGGAAAGCATGTGTTTTGTTATAAAGAAAAAAT